TTTTTTTATTATATAATAAAATAATAATTAAATATTATATGGTGAACAACAATAAGTAAAACTGTTACTTTCTCTTATATCAAGGGATAAATTTATATGCTAAAATTTAATTTTTATTAGTATAAATGTTTTAGTGAGATAATATATTAATTATTTTACAAGCTAGCCCTAACATGTTCATATTTAATGTTTTAAAAGATGTAGAAAAAAATTTATAATAACTCTATTGTTTTTTAGACTTAAACGTTGATTAAAAGAGGTAAAAATTCTTAATTTTTTAGACTTAAACGTTGATTAACACCATAGATTGAGAGTCTATATTTAGTAAAATTCTTAATTGTAATAAAAAAATTAACTTTTGCTATATTTTAGAATATCTTTAAATTCATTAGAAACAAAAAAAAGAAAAAAAACTACAATGGAAAAAGCAAGTCAACTATATATCGATTCGTTGTACTCCTCAAATCACAATCACAATTTGGCTACAAGGAAAGGAAACTCATTGATTAAAATATTATTTTGTCAGTAGTCTTAATGTACAAGAGACTTTAAGACTCCACTTGAATATTATAAAACTTTTATTGAACATTGTACAATTTTCTTGCGTATTATAAACTTTTATTGAATATTGCATCTTATAATATAATATTCTCCAAATAAATATATCCCGTGCTTCGCACGGGTCACGTACTATATATATCCCGTACATTTTTCTTTATTCATGTATATAATTATAAGCCTGGATAAATAGCCTTAAAATTGTGCACTCCGTGCATCGCACGGGCTCTGTACTAGTAGAATTAAACCAATAAACCTATCCTATCAATGCGTAACAAACATAACCAAAGTGAACAATGAAATGCGAAAAAGAAAAGACAATACAAACCCAAACAAAAACAACTAAAAGAGATGACAAAAAACAAAACTAAACACTTCTACACACGGTCAAACTTTTGTTTGATGATATGTGAATATTAAGAACATAACCTAAGCAAGATGAACAAAATAGAAACAAAAATCAAATTCTATGATAGTAATAATTACGTTCTCCTTAAAATGAAATTGTTCCGTCAAATATCTACGGTTAAAGACAAATGCCTTCAAAATACAATGTCTTTTGAATTGTGTATAATATTACTTTAAACATACAAGTATTCGACGAATGATATTCATCATATTTTCATGCATTATGAGTGATATATTGTGATATTTGGCCCTGGTTATCGTGTGATTGTGCACCAATTCGTTTTATTTATTAAACTATGATAGAGGTGTTTTTGTCGTTGTTTTTGCAGGAAATATGCCCGGAAATGCGTTGGAGATGGAATCGGGACGAAAAACGGCGAAAACGGGTGCAGAAGAGGTCACACGACTCGTGTGGGTAGTGACACGGGTCGTGTGGGTTGAGAAAATAAGAAACGCAGCTACGGCTTTTTCACACGGGTCGTGTGGCTTGTCACACGGGTCGTGTGGCCTCACACGACTCATGTGACCCGATCGTGTGACCAGTCGTGTGAGTCTGAAAGTTCGCCGAAACGTTGAGAAAAGTCACTCGTGTGGCATGTGACACGACTCGTGTGACGCGCAGACCAGACCTGTGGGGAATAGGATTCTTGTGCGATTTCTTCCCTTTTTCGACCCAGAATAGCCCTACAGTATAAAACAGACCTTAGGAACTCGTTTTTGGGACTTTTGACACCATTGGAGGCCTAGAGAAAGCACGAAACACACGAGGGATTCGAGGAAGTCAAGATTGAAGATTCGGGAACTAACGGCGACAATAGTTCTTCTTTCTTTTCTCTTTTTCTTCTTCATTGAACTCATGAATATATTTATTTTGAGTTTTGAGAATATGTTTAGTAGCTAAACCTTTTAGGGATTCTAGGATTTGCGAGTACTCGGATTATTTTATGAAGTGATTTTGTTTATTCATTCCGGTTTATCATTCGTTTATCAATTTCTTGTGCTTTTGTTTATTGTGTGAATATAAGGGCCCGTATTTATGCATATTTGTGATTGACTTGAGACCGAGAGGAGATAGTTGATTGCTAGAATTGGGAAATTCATAACGTAAGAGACTAAACAGACCGAGAGGTTGATAGAATCTTGCGAGGGAACTAGAATCTTAGGAGCTTATGGGAGTTGATTGTTCATCTTGAGACCGAGAGGAGATAGATAACAATTAATATCTACGATTTAACTTGTTCGAGAGAAAGGTGTAAATTACTTTAGTGATTATCCCTACGAATGGTAGAATTAAATAAGGTTTGAATGAATAGGAAATCTTTGTTATAATAATCCCGAGGAAAGCATAGCCTAGAATCTATTTTCTCATTCTTGATTTATCTTAGAACAAGCCTTCATTAGTGTTAGAATTTATTTTGCAATCATTCATTAGTTTAGAATAAAATCACCAATCAAATTTGCATCAGACTAAATAATATTTAATCGTTTACATTTTGATACTTAGTTAATTTTGACAACAATCTCTGTGGAATACGACCTTGCTCGCCACTACCTATAGCTACTCCGTACACTTGCGGATAGTGAAAATAATTAGCGAACAACGAACAATACAAATGTTTGGAACTCTCAGAACTTAATGAAAAACAAAATACACAATATGATATATGAAATTTAAAATATAATGTAAGAGCTCTTTAATTTCATGTATATTGAATGACTCATTGATCAGGGTATTTATAGATGTTGGAAAACATATCTAGGAGGTATAAATGTCAAAAAAACGCCTTTTGAGACGTGCGCAGACAAGAACAAACTCATATGTTGGAAGATTAGGTACTGGGTGCCAAATTTTGACAAAGTCACATTTGCATTTCACATTGGAGGTGCTAAGAAGGTGGCGTTTTTTGACAATGGAGTGCAATTTACATTGCATTCTTCTACTATAAATAGATGAGCAAATATGATGAACAAAACACACCAAAAATTCAAGAAGAAAAAAAAAAGAGTGAGCTAGAAAAAATATTAGCATTTGTGTGAATTTTTGAGTTGTGAGTAAGGTTGAGAGTGTTTTGTAAACACAAGTGTATTTTTTTTCCCAATAAAATATTTGCAGTAGTCCGGAGATGTAGGCATTATTGGTCGAACTCCGTTATCAATTTGGTGTTTTCAATTTTTTTTTTTTTTTCACTTTTATAGATCCGACTTCATGGAAAATTCAACGTATTTTTCCCAACAATTGGTATCAGAGCCAGATTGTTAATTCTGTATTTTTTTGTGTGGTGTTACTATTATGTTGAAAAACGTGAATAGTACCAATTTCGTCGGTGCTACAATTTATCTACCGACGTGTTTTGAAACACGGTAGTTCACAAAAATTGCAGAAACGATCCGGCAGAGAAGTCAGATCAGAGTCGAAGTGATGGCTGCAGTCGAAGGAAAAATGAAAATTGAGAAGTTCGATGGTGCGGACTTTGGCTTTTGGAAGATGCAGATCGAGAATTATCTGTACCAAAAGAATATGTATCAACCACTCACATGAAAGAAGCCAGAGGACATGAAGGAGGAAGAATGGAGTCTCCTTGACAGACAAACCCTTGGAGCCATTCGACTGACGTTGTCCCGTAATGTTGCTTTTAACATTGCAAAAGAAAAGACAACAGCAGGCCTCATGAAGGCTCTTTCCAACATGTACGAGAAACCATCAGCCTCAAACAAAGTTCAGTTGATGAGGCGATTGTTCAACCTTCGGATGATCGAAGGTGCTTCAGTGGCACATCATCTCAATGAGCTCAACACTGTCACAACCCAGTTGAGTTCAGTTGAGATCGAGTTCGATGATGAAGTACGGAATTTAATACTTTTGTCTTCCCTACCAGAAAGTTGGAATGCTACAGTCACAGCTGTGAGTAGCTCATCGGGAAGCAATAAGTTGAGATTTGATGATGTTCAAAATTTGGTTCTCAGTGAAGATCTAACGGAGGGAGTCGGGTGAACCATCGATCTCTTCTGTATGGTATACAGAGTCAAGAGGAAGAAGTTCAACTAAATAAAGCAGACACAACAAATCAAAGGGAAGAAGATCCAAGTCTAGAAATCATTGTAGTTTCCAAAACTCGAAGTCGATCGAGTGTTGGAATTGTGGGAAGACCGGGCACTACAGAAACCAGTGCAAAAGTGCACCGAAGAATCAGAAGGTCAAAGAAGAGGCAAATGTTGCCTCATCCTCAGGAGGAGATATGCTGGTATGTTGTTTGGAGAACAGAGAAGAGTCTTGGGTGTTAGACTCTGGAGCATCCTTTCATGCTACCTCACAGAAGGAACTACTCGAAAATTATGTTCCTGGTAACCTTGGTAAAGTTTACCTTGGTAATGAGCAAACATGTGAGGTTGTAGGGAAAGGTGCAATAAAAATTAAGCTGAGTGGGTCTGTATGGGAATTGAAAAATGTTAGACTTATTCCCGACCTGACGAAAAATTTAATCCCCGTGGGCCAGCTAGCCAGTGAAGGCTACACAACACTCTTCTATGGTGATGATTGGAAGATTTCGAAGGGTGCAATGACAATTTCTCGAGGCAAAAAGCGTGGTGCTCTTTACAAGACAACAAAAGCATGTCATCTGATTGCAGTTGCAGCAAATGAAATCCCAATCTATGGCACCAAAAAACTTGGGCATATGAGTGAAAAAGGGATGAAGATCATTCACTAAAAAGGAAAGTTACCAGGCCTCCGGTCAATAGAAATTGACATGTGTGAAGGTTGTATACTTAGAAAGTAGAAGAGAGTCAGCTTTTAGACAAGCAGAAGAACTCCTAAGAAGGAGAAGCTTGAGCTCATCCACTCTGATGTTTGGGGTCCAACGACTGTCCCATCCGTTGGTGGGAAGCAATACTTCGTGACTTTTATCGATGATCACTCGAGAAAAGTATGGGTTTACTTTCTGAAACACAAGTCAGAAGTATTTGAAGCTTTCAA